ATGTCACCAGCTGAGAGGAAGCAAACAAACCCTGGCACCTTCTTAGCTTCTGAAGTATCTATGCACCTGCAAGAATGAGGTGTGAGGGGTGAGGCCAGCAGGCTGAAGCAGGGGGACACATCACCTGGTTGGATAATCCTGTCCTCATTATAATGGGCTTTCCTCTACCCTAACTCTTCCCTTCTCTGCTTTCTTTTCTATTAGATTCTAATTCAATTCTGTTCTATTCTGCGAATGTTGGTTAAACGCTTACTGTATGCAGGCTACTGTGCTGGATGCTGCTGGGGGTATAAGATGAATACGCCAGGCCAGGCCTCCATGACCTTATGCTACACCCCGTCTGGTCTCCAAGGACAAGGGAGCCAAATTGCAGTGAGCAGCGTTAACTCTGGAGAGCTCTGGCTAAAACCCACGTCCCCAGCTAACACTCATCCAGAATCAGCACATTAGGGCCCTTGCCGTGCCACTGATACAATGGCCGTGAGCGTCTTCACACAACCGAATTTCTCTCCTCACGTTAATGGTGCTATCCCAGCACGACCTGGCATCCCGGGCATACTTAGGCAATGTGGACCTCAAAGGGAGAATGCCTGGAGAGTTTATCAATTATAACAGTCTAAACTAGGTCCTGATTGCTCTGGCCCATGTCCCCATGGGGAAGTAGGGCAGAGACACTTCAGGGAAAGGTATAGAAACTGCCCCAAGCATCAACCATCTTCAAACAGTTAATCCTCACAAGAAACCTTTAATTATCATCACCCCCATTTTACATTTGGGGGAAGTGAAGCTCAGTGACGTTAGGTAGCTTCATTGCTACCTAAAGTCACTGCCCCAGAAAGCAGCTTGACAGGGATTAGAACCAAGGTTAAGTCAGCGCGGCTCTGCCGACCACAACCCTTCCATGTGCGTGCAGCCCAGGAAAGCCCTGATCTTTGCTGTCACAACAATGTCCCTGCCCACCCCATCCTCCTCCAGCCATTCACACGTTGCTTGAATGGAGGTGGTTTGAGCGTAGACGGTGTGAGTTATTGTACTGTCAACAGGGGCTCAAGACAAGGACAAAGGCAAAAGAATGTACCCTGCAGCTGGCAACCCCATGAACTTAAACATTTTTTTTCAGGGACCTGGAAAAGTTTATCGATTTGTTGGATTTTCTCTGTGTCTGGTTCGCCACCCTGGGAGCCTGTCTCCAGGCTGGGAGCAGCAGCAGAGGAAAGATCAACGGCGAGATCTGATCCCTTGGCCACACAGTGGCAGGAGCTCTAGGGCGGGTTTCCCAGCTGTTCTACTCAGTAGGCTGTGTGTCTAATGCCCACCAGGAAATGCAGTTCACACTCGCTGGGTTGAACACCGAGAGGCAGCACAGCACAGTTGCCCATGCTGCTGGCTTCAAACGCCAAGTCTGCTGCTTACCAACTATGTGGCCTGGGGCAGGTAATTTACCCTGGTCGTGCCTCAGTTTCCTTATCTGGAACAGGGAGAGAATAATAGGACCTGCCTGTAGGGTCGTTGTAAAGAACAAATGAGCCAGTATATTGTAAAATGCTTTAAACTAGGTTGTGGCAGATATTAAGTGCCATAGGAGCGTTAGGTGTTATTACTATAGAGGTGGCAATTCTTGCTGTTTGAGCTCTCGAAGTTCGACAAACACATACAAGTAATTATTCTCTGCTAGGTGCTTTGTAGATGCTGCTGGTAATCCTCACAAAACCCCCTATTACGTTGGGGAAAGTGAGAGATTAAGTGCACAGGCCAAGGTCACAGTTGCTACGCACCAGAGCAGGGATTCACTGCAGGTCTGCTAGATCCTAAGGCCAAGTTTTTTCCTTTAGTGCTAACTCCAGTTGTCCTGAGATTTGGCATTTCAGTTTAGTCTAATATTCAGACTGCGAATCTAACTTGGCCAGGTCCAAACCCCTCAGCAGCTGGAGTGTCATCTCCCTCCGTTCAGCGCGCCCAGCCTTTCTCGACCTGCCCCTGCCTCCCGCTCCAACGTGAGTACCCTCGCCCTCCCAGGAGTAGACCTTCTCCAGGTGCCACTGGGCCCCTCTCCCTGCCTGCTCCTCTCCAGACTGTGGTTTTTAGGTAATTCCCTGTCTTTCTTTCTAGACTGGGGTGTCCTGGAGGAACTTCGTTATCCTTGTATCTCCAGTGCTTAGCAGGGTGATTCCCAGTGTCCTCCTCCCAGAGTGCCACCGGCTCCCTGGCAGCGGCGACACTCACTTGATCTTGGCGTGGGCCCGGGTGCTGGTGACCAGCCGGAGAGACAGCTCATTCTCGTAGTGAGGGATGTCGTCACAGTATACTGCCTCGCCGGAGGCCTGCATGTCTGCAGCCAGGTGGCGCAGGGGCCGGCCCACCATGTCCTCCTCAGACTGATCCTTGGGCACCTCCTGGAACAACACGGTCACCAGTTAGGCTGAGCTGCTGGGGACACTGCTCCCCTACAGGCCCAGGGCAAACTGTGGAGAGCTTCAGGCTAGATGGCAAAGCAAACCTGAGAGAATAGAGGAAGCAGAGGGGCGTGGGGCAAAGGAAACAGGAGGGCACATAAGGAATGGATAAGGATGATCATAGTGTCAGTATAAAAAGGAACAAAAAAAGAGGGACCTAAATGTCCATTAACTGGGGATTGGGTAAATACATTATGCTACACTCATACAATGGAATAATATGCAACCATTAAAACAATTAAAATACACTTTTTAAGAATTTTAATTAGAAGAAAAGAATGTTCATGTTAAGTGTAAAAACAGGCTGGGCACAGTGGCTCATGCCTATAATCCTAGCACTCTGGGAGTCCTAGGGGGAGGATTGCTTGAGGTCAGGAGTTTGAGACCAGCCTGAGCAAGAGCAAGATCCCATCTCTACAAAAAATAGAGAAATTTGACAGGCATGGTGATACACACCTGTAGTCCCAGGCTGAGCCCAGGAGTTTGAGGTTGCAGTGAGCTACGATGATGCCACTGCCTCTAGCCTGGGCAACAGAGCGAGACTCTGTCTCAAAAATAATTAAAA